ATATTCTTCGTGGTCTTACAACCAATGAGTTCATTGGTTTAAACATTCCAAGATTTCTTCCAAGTATACAAATCCACCAATCATATATTGGTGGATCAGAAAATCATTTAGCCAAAGGATTGTCAATTATACCGGTGCACAGAATTATTTTGATATCAACTGATAAACTCTAGGATTTTGTGCGGAGGATTGTACTGCAGTTGTTCTCAGAATTACATATGATACAAGGTCGAATACATTTATCGGTTTCTCACTTCTCCTTGATGACAATGAGATGCCCACCATCAACTCATATTTGACAGACTCGTTTACTTGCCTTAAGCGATGATGTTCAGATTTACCGTTGGCAAAATCACTTAGCACTTGTCTTGTTCAGCCACATTTTGTCTCTATCACAACATCTTCGTACCTTCTTGCAGGGTACGGAACAGATAATAAATTTTGATCATCACATGTTATTTTATGTCGGCGCCATATTTATGAACTATTCAAAACTAAAGATATTCTTGTAATCACCTATGCAGCCGATTATGACAGTCGCTACTTACGCGCCATGAGAATATCTCCTAGTTTTTTTGGTAATATAATGTATGATGATCATCTAGATATAGTTGCGATAGGTCTTCCAAGTAACCGGTCGTGACTTTTCTATGCAACACGAGCAATTATACGTATGAATACAGGATCCGATTCATATATGTACAAAATTTCGTAATAGATTGCTTCCAAAAATAACAACAATTCTTCTTTTAGGTAAAAAATTAATTAATATTGAACCGTTTCTTTACATAATTGAAAATTTTTTCAAATTTGATCATGCACTTGTTCTATCTGACATTGATCCTAATGGTCGCCAGAATTTCAAATCTTGCACAAAAATTTCAAACGATAACTTTTTCAAGTTACTTGAACGAGTTCCAAGTGGTATTGTTATTAGTATTTATCTTGAGACAGGTAAAACAAAGAGTTTTAAAGTAGATGAAGAAATTTCGGTTCATAATCAATGTGAAAATAGAGAACTCATTTAACTGAATTTAAGGAAGTTCTTTAAATATGCTCAAATAAAGTGATTGATATTAATCGAAAATTTATAACAATTATTATGTGTTATTAGTATCAGAGATGAGCTTGGATCCGTTCGGTTCAAAAACTTTTTAACAAAATACATAGTTTTGGTTCGTTTATTTTTGAAAGCACAGGAATTTATTCCATCTTGAATCAGGATCAATGTAGTCTAAGTGTCATTTTCAAGCTATGGAAAGGATTTTCGTTGCTGTTCGAAAACCCGAGTTTTTAATTGCTAGATAAGAACATATGGGTCAGGTTATAGAATACCATTTTAAAGCTTTGGATTATAGCAATATGTCGCGGATTTTTGTTACAGGCTATAAAAAGTATCCAACTCGTTTATATAGAAGAAGCAACAGATATCATTGACTGGGTATTACATGCGTGGATGGTGTGTTTATTTTTCAACTTTGGTATTTTTGGATTATTTCAATGGTGAAGAATAATCTTGATTCAATTCTCATACAACTATCTGACTTAACCACATCTAATAAACGGAAATGTAACACAAAAAGGAAATATTTTATTACGTACCAGTTGGTACTTTTCAGTTGAAACGAATACACATAGTTTTATATATCATGCTTCACCTGTCTCAGAAGGACAACTTCCTCTTGAAGCTCTTAACATATGGTTAGACGATTCTCAAACTTGCGAAAGTATATTTAGATCAGCTAGACCAGTTCCTAGCACTAATCAGCAATTGTAAACTTTACAGTTTTATAATTCTTTAGTCGAATCAACAAATTATCCACATTACAAGCCATCAAAAGTAAGACAAATGAAAATAAGCTACGTTTTCCTCAGCATCATAAATTATAATCATATTCATTATGAAATGCCTCGACCTCATCAAATACAATTACTATTTCGAAGTTTGAATTTGAAAATAGAGTTCTTAACGTATATAAATATGTCGCTAATCTTTTTAAGCCACTCAAAATAAAAAAACATTGAGAAATTTTCAAACAACCTAAATTCAAGAACTTAGTAATATTATTTCACGTCGATTGGGCAATTGTTGGATAACTGAAAACGATAATAGTGCCAGCAAAAATGAAGATTTAGATACCGAGTCAGATGATCATATCGAAAGTTACATAATACATTTCTATCAAATGTACTAGGTAAAAGTAGTCAGAGATGTGGAATATGATCAGTCTCCGATCATAGTAGATTGTTGCAAAACATGAAATTGTGTCATAATTGCTGTAATGTACCTATATGAAAAATTCAATGTTCATCGTCTTACCTTCGATTTTTGTATTCTTGTCCGCTTATTTCAATCTAAGAAACACATTGGGTGTCATGAAGTTTTTATCCTTTTAGTTCATAGAAGTTGAAATTCTGATGATATTCAATTTGTTTCTCAGGTTGAAATAAGCGAAATAGAATATGAAAACCCAAGGTAACACGAGGGTGTGGGTGTGGGTGTCGGTGCGGTTGTAGTAATCAACACTCAAATCCACACGCAGACGGACACCGACACCCACACTCGCAAGTTTTTTTCTATCGTCACTTTTTGGATTTCCTGGAAAGCGAAATTTAGCAATGCATGCTTTTGAAAATGAGATATTCTATTTCAGTATAAAAACTTGAGTAGAGACTCCTTATGCAAATGGATTACTTATCTTAGTATATTCGAAAATATTTTACCACATAGTATTATCAATTTATATTGTTTTATTTTAGAAATAAATAGAATACTCAAATAATGCTCTACAAAAATCACTTATTTTGGTTTTTAACTCATGTATTGTCATTCTCAAAAACGAAATTTCCCTTCATTACCGCAAATTTTACATAAAAACATGAAAAATGCGTTTGTATCTTTCTATTTTCAATTTCGACTGTGAGTCGATGGTATATTCATCAAATTCATTGAAAACTATATTTAATCATTCGTACTCTGACATATTTTCCAATTGTAATCTAACTATATCTGAGAATAGGGACATATTTTTAAGAAAAAGATATACCAAAATGTCTTGAATTATATTTTTATATTATATAAATTTTATTAAAACATGTATGGTCTAGTGTAGTTGTTAATACCAATTATAAACTTGCTTATTTTATTTACGTGAAAGATAATTTGTAACAGCTAATACGAATGCATTGTTTTTCGAATATTGTCATCTGATGCCGGGCATCAAAGAGCAAAAAAAATTAATTTTTCTGAATGGTAAGACATAATTTGAAAAAGAAACGAAAAAAGTAACCTTGTAGCATTTTCCTATCATTTGAAACTAAATGGGTTGACAGAATTACCGAGCAAAACATATATTCGATGAAGTTTGTGGCAAATAATCCATTCAAATAATAAATCTTTACTGAGTCTTAAATACTGACTTACAATGGAAGGTCGGGAACTGTTGAGCAGTAAGATTGACCTTGTTCGGGGGAAATGATTACTCTCATCGAGAAACTAACGCACCTAGAATATGAGCTGCTAATGGTGAGTTGGGCAGAGATATTCTATTTTTATGTTATGCATTATTTGGGTATAGAAGCATGATAATGTATGATTTTTTGACACCAACCTTTTTAAAAAAAATCATGAAATTTTTTAAGACGCGAGTGTATAAAATCTTCGTGAGTCTTACTAACAATATTTAGTCTTCTTAAAATACGACTTCTATAGTTTAACGGTACTGAATAGGACATTGAAAAGTGTTGCACATAAAAATCCAGCATTCATCAATACAATACTTGACTTTTTTTACGAGAAATCAATGAAAAGTACAAAATAATATTTCAAAAGATGCACTATAGATGAAGATGAAGTTCTTCAATCAAATGATAGCAGCAAAGGTGTTTTTTGTCCCAAGCGCAAATGAGTAGGCCTCGCTCCTCACAGCCAGAAACTGAACAATAAAAATCATAAAATTTAAAACTAATCTCTTTTGGTTTTTCGATTTCACCTATTGTTTCATTGAGTATGTTAACTTGCACAAATCCAGATTTGATCAGACATTGAAATTGTAGAGCACTTAATTGATTGTGAATGACAGAATGCATATTTATGAAATATTGACGATTGTTCAAATTCATTTCTATTCGATTGATATGAATGTAATGTTCAATTTTCTCATGAATAAATCGCCAGGAACTAAATAATGATAGATCTTGTGGTTGAATATAACCAGTTGATCCTTTCGGAAAAATTAATAATTGACTGTCTTGATGTGGAAATACTGCTCTAAATTTTTTAGATCAGCTTGAGCTGTCCAACAATCAAGGAAAATAAGGAATTTTCTATCAACCAAAGGACGTAGAACTTCATTTAAAAAAATGCGATGTTTTTCATCGCTGCTTTTTCCAGATTTTGAAGTCCGTAATATGACATTTGGTGGTACAATTAAATCTTTCTCTACTCTTTTACCGAATTCATGTTCCTTTTCCTGAAGAATGAGGAAGAATTTATGTAATAATTGACCATCAGCTGATGTAATTGGCTGTACCGTTTAAGAGTGCGTGATATTATTCATCTTTTTTACCGAAACTTCGGTTGTTCTTTCACTAGTGAAAGAGAGAGTTGTCGGAGAAACATATTCTTGTTGAAATGAACAATGGTCACTGTTTAGAATTTGACGAAAAGAATAATTCGACATTAAAGATCTTTGATTTTCGACCCAGTCATGAGCATCTAAAAGACACATATATATCGCATCAATATAAGTAGACTGGATCTCAAATAAGAACGTATATACCTTTCAAACTGCTTTTTTTTTATTTGAAGATATTCGGGTAATAAGTTTATTGTACCTTCTAGATGAAATTCTATGTTCTTTCTTGAAGTCATTGATAAACGTATTAGTTGCTTTGAAAATTTCCCAATTTAATTCTTTTGCCCTCTAAATTGCAAAAAATTCTAGATCAAACTCATGAATCGCTTCTTTTTCGATTGCTCTTTTCACATAAAATTGATTCTACATAAATTCTTTGATATTTTTTATTTTTTCTAGTCTTGTGCCATTCTTCTTCATGTATTCTCTGACTCTTGTAACATAATGCATGTATTTGACTTTTCGAAATCTATTCTTAATAGATGTAAATTTATAATTTGGATGTTCATTAACCCATTTCATTATATTTTCCATCTCTTCTAATGTGAAATTAGTCTGAATCTCCAATGATTCATTTTCATCATAGTCACCAATATTTTGTTCTTCACCAGTTGATTCTTGTTCATCAGTACTGTCTTCTTCATCCGTAGTTTCATCATATTCATCATGAAAATCGAGACTTTGATAAGTATATAGTTCATGAAAGTAGCCATCTCTAAATGTCTTTAAAATTTCGAATAATTGTTGTGAAGCAAAAACTTTATCAGCACTTGTTGGTGAGCCTTCAGAGCAAAATTCGAATTGTGTTAAATGGAGAAGATTTTTTGCAATATTCACCGAATTCATTTTTTAATCGATCAGGCTAATCTTTACAAGTATTATTTGTAATAGAGACTACGAAACAACGTTACTTGGAATGCGCACATGATTGATACTTATGAATACCAATCATAAAGAATTATAGAATAGAAACTGTTGACATATTACTCTTTACATTATTTTATTAGTGAATCTCCTCTATTCTATGTCAGCAATGGTTTCTTAGAGCCTTTCAACATTCTACTGATAATAAGAATATGGATACTTCTCTCTTTTTTCTAATAAGTAATAGGCGAACAGTTCTATGAATTGTGGAATGAATCATGAATGCATTTTATTTTTAGATAATTTATGTATGGATATTTTTCAAATCAAACATGTATTCTTTTCGAACGTGATACTGTTAAACTATAGGAGAGATCGTATTTTAAGAAGACTAAATATTGTTAGTAAGACTCACAAAGATTTTAAACATTCGCGTCTTAAAAAATTTCATGATTTTTTTTAAAAAGGTTGATGTTAATAAATCATACATTATCATGCTTCTATACCCCAAATAATGCGCAACATAAAAATTGAATATCTCTGCCCAGGTATACCATTAGCAGCTCATATTGTAGGTGCGTTAGTTTCTCGATGAGAGTAATCATTTTCCCCGAACAAGGTCAATCTTACTGCTCAACAGTTCCCGACCTTCCATTGTAAGATTCCATTTCATCCGAAACTACGCAACGAACGACCACCCCCAAAGGGTACATTCTATCGTGGTATTACCCTTAAAGATGAGAAACTCATAGAAAATTACAAAGTAGGTGGGTGTGAGTGTGTGAAGTGTCTCTAAAAAGGAGATCAATACCCACACCAACACTCACACCCCCGCACCTACACCCCTCCCCCTACACGCAGACCCACACACATCCACATCCATACCAAAACCCACACCCCACACCTACACCCACACCCCACACCTACACCCCACACCTACACCTACACCCACACCCACACTGTAACGAAAAATAGATATACATATACATAGGATATGTATATATATATATATATATTTCGTCATTGACAAATGGTGAGGCACATTAAATGTCTTTGATCTCATTGTGAGCATGATGTTTATTCGACAGTGCACTACATCCAAAATGTAACTATTACACATACAACATGAACCTATATATGGGAGAGATGGAAGAGAAGAGAGAAGAGATAGTACAATATAAGAGAGAGAAAGAAAAGAGGAAAGATATAAAAGAGCATTACGCAATATTTAATTAACCACTAGTTGATATTGGAATGATGTTCATCTGCTTATGTAAAGCATACTGATCTAATCATCTAGAGACAGTATGCTCGTTAATATCGTATGACGTAATGTTGCTTGGTGTGATTAGAAGAGATGGCATGTCTCTTGGCACATGAGCTGAGATAGAGGAACATTAGAGAAAGAACACATAGGCGAGAGCAGAGTATATAATTTACGAGCGAACAATGATATAAAGTTAGAAACGCATTACGAAAGAAAGAGAACACAGTTCCATCATGTATAGATAAACGTAAGAGCAACACGATTGTGAGCACTACGTATCATTGATTGTACAAGAACACACTGAGAAAGTAAAGATATCATATAGTGCAATATGCCTAATGGCACACACACCCTAGGCTCCCATGGCGTGTTTAAAATCGCACTGTGGAAGAAAAATATTTTTGAATATGCGGTAGCATCCAAATTTTGATAGACATATGGCATAAAAGTTATGACAGAGACCTACGCAATGATGTATTAGATTTTTTTAAAATACAGTTTAAAGTGTATTGTTGCAGAATATCTTCTATTTGGTTTGCTTTCGCATGAGGCATAATGAGAAAAAAAAACAATAAGCATCTTAATATAGATACGGAGATATTAGTTCACGTGATTCGAAAAATGATATGTTATAATATTCTCCGTAAAACTCAGTATATGAGTTTGTTGTGAAAATATAAGCTAATCAATGAAATGTCATCCGACGTACATAAAGTGATTTTGGTTTCAGCATTCTTTCTACTGCTTAAAAATAATTATCAAATATCCATATCCATTTGTTTTTATCGAAAGCATGGAAACTTCATCTATCGAATCTCTTCAATATTTTTTATTTGTAACGAGAAAAAGAACAATTTTCATAAATAGGACGCACTCGAGTATTGATTACATACATCACATTCATTTCACTGTCGACCAAAATAACAACCGAATCAAGTAATATTTCCAGTTTTGTGTTCCTGATTATGAGTCAAGAGTTGAGGACCATTTGTATTCACACAAAAAAAACTTACATCATAATGTATCCATAAGAAAAAAGAGAATTTGTTTTAATTTGTTTGAGGCTTCATTTTTTGCGGTTTTTTCCTTTCTTATTTAGTTTTGTTTTAACGGCATATTCCAAGTCTTTTCTTCTCGTGTTCTTTATGTGATTGTTGCCTGTCTCCTGAAATCATAAATATTTATTGAATGACTCGAACGAGTTTTTCTTCTTTTATTGATTTTTTGCAAGTGTAAAAATGTGTCAACATCTGAGCTATAATTATGACCAATCTGAGACTGGATGTTAGTATACTTAGTAATTGTCCTTTATTTCCCAGCCCACACTCAATAAATATTGGTGCATTATGTGGCCGTACTGTAACTCTTTTAATTCTTAGTACAAAGAGATTCAGCAAAAAGAAATATCTTATCAATGCATGAAGAAACATATCAACTATCATCATATGTATTGATTGCCATAAGTAAATCATCAAAACCATCACATTATGCACTGCAAAAGTCATTTTTTCATTCGATTCAATTGCATGATGAAATAGGGCCATCGCTTTATACTGCATCATCTGAATGAATTGGTTTTGCGTTAACTTATCGTGTACCATCAATATTAGATGTTCCTAATCAAAGCATTGTAACTCATACAAAAACATTTATATAAAACACTAGACACTTAATATAATGAGCAAATCTGAATAAAATAAGTGATATTTCTGTATTTTTATTTGTATCATTTCAATTGAAAATTTCTTTTTAATTTTATCAACATAACCACTTAAAAGTTACTCTCTGCTGTTCCATTTTCAGGTTCAACATGTGTACCTATGATAAGAGAATGTTGAAATCCATTCAGTTTTAGTGAAGTTTTTCCTGCATGTGATAATTCTTGATCTATTATATATAAAAATTCACCTTTTTTAATTGATTTTTTCCTAATAAATCTTATCTAATACATACGCTCGACAACAAGTTCTAATGGCCAATGTGCACATGTAATTTTATTACGAACCAATTCTTCTCTCAATTGACGAAATTCTTCTAAATTTTTATACTTGCCCATATCCGGTACAAACATGGATAATGGACTCATACATATACAAGCGGCAATACGTAATAATTCTGATTGATTATTTTTTTCACTGTTAACAATAGCTGGTGTATTACAATGAATACAACGAGAATCCCAAACAATAAGATCACCTGCTTTACATTTAACTAAACGAGGATGTAATTTTTCAAATAATGGGTATTGCTCAGGAACTCTTACATAAGCATCCCACAGACTTGCATTAGTTTTGCTTTTTAATTCACTAAAATATTTATGTGAATCAGGTACAATAAGAAAACCACCAGTAGACTCATCACTATCAGTTAATGAAACAAGACCTTGTATTGAACATCGGTCAGGTTTCTTAAATGGATTCTAAAATCAACTAAGTGCCGATGTACATTGATAGATAATAACAGAAATTGATTTACTTGATAACAATGATACCAAGAACTTGTTGTTCTCCATTTTGTATTTAGATGCCAATTACGAAAACAGCTAGCTCCATCAAAAGAAACAAATAATTCATTAGAATTCCAAATATGAGAAAAAACTTTTTTTATATTAGGATTTCCTCGAATAAACCACATGAATTCAGATTGGCCCATACCTTCATCATTTAACAGACCAAGATGAGGCGTGCCTGGCCTAGGTTTTTATAAAATTTTTTTCCACAAAAAAAGTATAAAAGTAAACTCACCACGGTTCATTCCATGTCTCTGGATTATTACGTTGAATATGATATGGATGTTGTAAACCTTCTAAATATTTCCATAACAAATTCACACTATGATTAATTTCATCATTAGTAAGTATATTACTAAATATAGCATAACCATGTTCATTGAGATTTTCAATACCTTGTTGAAGTTCTTCAATATTGTGAATAGAAAACCTAGGAGAAATCACATCATAATCCACTGGTACATCATTTATTGTTTTTAATTTTGATTCACTCATTTGATTTGATGATGTGGAAATATTTAACTGATTCACAGTTCAAATATGAAAATTTATTGTTCTTATTAAGTACCTCTAAATAACTCAGCTATTACAATAAAGATAAGAGGATAATGCAGTAAGATGTGTATATTGCATGAAAATTATAAAAGGTTTTTAAGTACAAATATAGAAAAGCAACACCTCCTTTTTGTAACATGTACAGAACAGGAAAAAAATCTATTGGCGTTTACACGTCACCACTATCGCATAAATATGAAATATGAAATAGAGATGTCAGAGAAGAAGAGGAAATATTTATTGACAAATAAAATTAAACAACAGGAAACACTGAATGAATTTTCAAAATGAATTTTTTAAATGGCTTATCTCTAAAAACTACTTCCACATAAATTCTTCTAAATAAGTTAATTGTAACGTTCGACGTATTTCACTTTGTTTCTTTTTGCTTTCTTTTAACTCGCATTCAAGTATTTTCAATATTTTGAGCGCACACACCGATTGTTGAGTTAACGAAGCCGACGGAATGACTAACAGTTAAATGATTGTCATCATCCTCATTTGCTAAAGGAAAGTGTCCTCTCTATTCATGAGTGTATGGTTGCACCTATGATATAGAGATGTGCTCAAATATTACGAAGTAAAAAAAATTGGTAACATATATTTTTAATAATTGGAATTGAAGTTGTTACATCTTGCAGATTCACAGATACTAGACACGTGTGTGGGTGTAGACGTGGGTAGTATAGATGTGGGTGCCAGATAAAAGACAAAAATAACACCCAAACCCACACACACCCTTCAGAAGTTGGGCTGGGAAGTCCTCTCTCATCCACCATTTTCCACAGACATGGCGCCATTGGATTACGATCTATTTCGCTCTCTTCGGCACCATCTAGCTGAGAAACGCTTTGAAGACTATGACACTCTTAATTCTGAGCTCGCCACTTTTTTTGATTCAAAAGAGCCAGACTTTTATAAAAAAACGGATCTGTCAACTGCCGAAAAGATGGGCCACTGTTATTGATAATAACGGTGGACATATTATTGGTTGAGGTTGTTTTTTTCTGTTGAGAAATAAATTTTGTTGTCTGGTAAAGAGAAAGACGTAAAATTTTCCTGCCAACCCAATAGTATAGAGTTTTTAAAATGGTAATCTGAAGATATTTAATTTTCAATTTAGGCTTCTAGCAGTACTATTTGATAAAAAAAGTGCTTCTCTTTGATTTATAAAAAGGTACACATTCTACGCTTGAAATTTTTAGAACCAAAAATGTCATTCTAGTGCATAATGAATAGGTATACTATCATGCAATAGACAAAATGTCACTGCGAAAAAAAATTACGCTTACAACAAGATCTAACTCTAGCAGAAACACTTTTTGACAAAAGCTATCAGTTCTATTCAAGCGAACACGATGTGCTTTTTTTTTTCTTTGCAATTCGTACCTATTTCATTGAAACATTATTGCATAAAACAAATATTAATTTTATACATTTGAAGTTTTATTTCAACAAAATAATATTCATAAAAGAATCCTTATGTCAGATAAATTAAACGAGATAATCATTAAATACACTCGGGTGGGTCGATTCGGATCAAAAACTAGAAAATTGATCTAAATTTTATTCGTTCTCATTCACTGTACGTTGTAGCAGGGTGACTTTTGGAGTGAAACCAAAACAAACTTGCTCTTGGAGTGAGTGTGATGGATGTGGTTGTAGCTGTAGGTGTAGGTATGTTGGGTATGAATGTTTAAGAAATGAATACTTGCAACCACATCCACCCACCACCCACACCCTAACCGATTTTTATGATCGCTTTATATCTAATAAAGGATTTGAGTGTAGCTTGTTCAACTATTTGTTGATTTACAATTGTATTTAACAATCAGAAAAATCTGTCTATCATCAGTCAAAAATGAAACTTATGAATGAAAAATTATTTTAATTTACGAAAAACATCATTGTGCTGCTAGTTTCAAACCCGAACACAAGTATGAACAGAAAATAGGAAAATATAAATCAGTATGAATAATTTTATAAAGAAAAGTATACCATGCTTGCTATATATTGAAACAGATATTGGATAGAAAATTCGAATTAAGATAAGGCAAATTAGACTTCTTTCTGTAAACAGCTATCAATGCTGAAGGACTTATATGGAAAAAAGTTGCCACTACATTTAGCTGTCATCAATTGTAAATAAATGTGAAAACTTCGGATTTAAATCCGAGAGTTATGTGTACTTCAAAAAGTGAATGAGCCAGATGGGTCATCTTAGAACATGTGGACATAAGAGAGGGTCCATGAGGCCATCAAGGAATCGAAGCACTCGAAAAAATTTAGTTTTTTGATTTGATATGCTGACCTTAATCAGCATCATCTAAAACCTCTTAATCCAAATTTTTAACGTATTTAATTGAGCTGGTGGAAAGTTAGCCATATTCTACTTTTCAGCACTCACAAAGTTGTCTGAAAAATATGATGAAAAATAATCAATATAAAGTTGAGTAATTTTTCACAACAATAAATTAACAAACGTTTTAGTGTAATATACCAAAAGATAGAGCGTGAGAAGCTGAACAAAATGAAGTATTTACATATGACTTTTCAATTGACTTAAATCCTTTTATTAGTTAAATACTCTCTATGGTATGGTGGAAAAAGGCAGAAAGGAAAAACGTCGAAGAAAAAATATAGAAAGGAAAAATATAGAAAAGAAAAAGAACGAAAAGAAAAAAAAAGAAAAGAAAAAGCACAAAAGTCAAAATGTCGAAAGAATATTAAGCGAATAAAAGATCATTAACAGAAATATTTTGACGAATGATGAATAAATTTTATTCAATGAAGACAATCTAATAAGATAATGCATAAAGTGATTGATAAATAAATAGATTAAGTCTCTATAAGATAAATGTGAATAATTATTTTTTTCTTTTCGACGTAATATTTTTCGCAACGATATACGACAATCCAGTTAAGAGTTCATCAACAAAAATATCACTATTTTGATAGCGCAAATGTAAAGTATCTATCCGTTGTTGTATTGCGTTCGTAGTAGTTGTTTTTGTTCTTGATGCCAAACCACCTATCATTTGAATTAATACATGGTTAAAACGATTTTCTTCACCTTGCATGCATCTTATAAATGTCCATATGTTTGGATGGTGTTTTGTAATACGTAAATTTAACCGATTATGGAATCCTAAAAATATGAATGAGATACATAAATCCTCAAATACTTATCAATGCTATATGCCTTCTGCATTATTATTTGTTTTAACACGAATGCCATAAACATTCCATTTTTTTAAATCTACTGTGTTAATCCAATAATGTTCAAAATAATCAAATAGAGGTTTCAATGAATGAAGTACTGATGACGATGATGATGCAAGTAATACACTTTCATGAAGATCTTCGAAAGATTTTAATACAAGTGGTGGCGGCAATAGTGCCAAAGCCATTAGTTTTCTACACGTCATACGAATACCATCATCATTACAATAAGCGCTTGATAAACCGAGTTGTTGTATTTGTCTATAAATCGACTGTGTAAAATGAAAGTGGCATCCTATGTGATTACTACGCGGAAACTAAATGAAATTATAATTTTTTTACATCTCTTTTTTAAGTTTAACTTCGAGAAAATTACTTCACTACTAATAGCTTCAGACAGACTAGGTTCAAAATCGGTCATTATTGTGCATGGATCAAATATTCGATTCAGGGTGTGGGTGTGGGTGTGGGTGTGGGTGTGGAGTGTGGAGTGTGGGTGTGGGTATGGGCCTTGGTCTGGGAGTGGGTGGCGGTGGGTGTGCGTAGAGGGAATATTAGCCTCCATACCCGAAGATACCCACACCCACCCACACCCTGCAATAAAAGTTTTTATGTTTCACGAAAATCAATGCCAGTTTAACAGAAAAAAGCCTTTATGTTATTCAAAGGATATAAACTAGTATCAATGATGCTCAAAAAATAGCATATTTTTTTCTATTAAATACTGTATTTGAGAGTATGTGTGTACGACTAGTTTGTGACATGAATATGTATACACTTACACTCAAATCAATAATAGCTGTTAAAACGACTGAAGCTCACGTATAGTAGATATTAACTGACCGAAATCATTTATTTTATTTTATTGTATTGTGAAACATTGCCTCCGGGGAAAGTTTTGCTTTATAAAAAAATGGGCAAGTGTGGAAAAGCGAATGAAACATTTTATATTATGCATTTTCGATGAACGATTGTCGGACCATTCTCATCATACTCATACTTGGAGATTGATATAGATGTGAAGTCTGAGACAGATCCCAGGATTGATCCACCAATCCATGTCAAGGAATGACGTTCGGGTGTAGAAATAATCTCAACATTTATGGTTGACGGTGCCAGTGAGGTGATCTCCCTGTACATATGTTGAGCTAGACCTGGCAGCATACTTGTACCTCCACTAAGAACAATATTTGCGTACAAGTCTCTACGGATATCAATATCGCATTTCATCATTGAATGGTATGTCAACTCATGAATACCAGCAGACTCTTGTCCGACGAAAGACGGCTGAAAGAGAGCCTCAGGACAGCAAAACCTTTGATCACCGATAATTACTTCGTTACCATCTGGTAGCATAAAGGTTCTATTTATTGGCGGCTCTATGACTCCACTGGGAGATCGACGGCCTTTCCGCAATGGCTTGGACGATTCCTCTTCAAAGTCGAGTGCAACATAGCATAACTCTTTAATTTGATTTACAATCTGTCGCTCACAATTGCGACGAGTAAATGAGTAATAGCCTTCAGTTAGTAAGCGCATAAGAAAATCAGTAAGATCAATATCAAGAAAGTGAACAGTGTGAGGAATGGAATAACCTTCATAAATCGGTACTGTGTGCATCACAGTATCGCCTAAATCAATCCCAATGCCTGTTGTACGACCCGATGCATAGAGAGAGAGTGTAGACTGATTAGTTAAGTAGAGTGAAGGTATTTCGAATTTCTCAAACATAATGTGTGTTGTTTTCTCACGACACCCTCTAGGATTCAGAGGCTTTTCTGTAAGAAGCATAGGATATTGTTGAGGATCTATTGTTAGCTCTTGAAATATATGAGACCACATTGCTTCGATCCCGTCCCAATCAGTTATGATTCCATTCTGTATGGAAGCAAAAAGCTGTTCCGAATGTGTCAGAGAGTGACTCCGAGGTACCCATGGAATATTATGTCGCCAGTGATCTTCCCCTGCAAAGCCGGCCTTGCATGTAAACGAACCATTATCGATCACTACAGCTGGAAGGCCACGTTCTTCAGTCGACATTAGATTGTAAAATTCTAAATACATTCGAATTCACACAGCTTCAGATAATGAAGAAGATAAGAATTACACAATATTTTTCTCCCTCAACATAAAATTTTCATTCATTCTCAGGGTTGCAGCCAGATTATTTACTGACCAACAAAAAGTATCGTTGCCGACAGGTATCATTGTGAGTGTGGATGTCGGTACATTAGAATCTCATAACAGATTACATAAACATTCACTGCCACGTTCGCACAGTTTGATTACTTTTCGAAAGATAGTGGAGCCTGCATGATTCCAGAGGTCACCACGATGCACCTGGTACGTTTGCCACTATTGAATACAAACCGATCGCGATCATCTAGCACTCAAACAAATTTATTCCCTCGTCAATTACAAAAATAATAAAACTAAATGATGACGGTGTGCGCGTGTGTATGTGCTGGTTATGAATCTATGCACGATTATGTGTATATAGCTGAGTGTTATTCTCTTCTTAACTCATAGTAACATCCACAACTACACCCTTTAGTCTGAAGATAATGAGCTTTTTTTTGAAACAAGCATGATATTGCTTTCTATCAGACATTTTGTTTGTACATTTAAAAAGGAAAGACGAAAATTTGATTCAAACAAAACCAAAACACCATAAAAGTTCAATAGAAAAGTTTACTTTTATTAGAACTTAGAATTGAAAAAATTTACAGATAATGTCTCACTATTTCAAACTAAATTAACTAAACTTTAATTCTTTTCCTAAACTAGATAGCAGTCATTTAAGTATCAGGCGATTAATTCTATGACCAGAAAATCAATCAAAAGTCTTATCAATTTGTATGTGTATGTGGGTCTAACGATTGTTTGAACTCACATCCCACCATCTCATCCCATCTGTTTATAATATGGTATATTTGTTTAAAAGAACTACACTACACAATTCAGCGAAGAAATACTCTACAAGTTAGAAAGAACGATTCTGACAAGAGTAGATAAGAAAATACGACATTGTCTGCTATCTAAACGCAAATCATGCTTTTGAAACATTGAGATTTGATTAATCAGGCAGTTGACAACTGCTAAAACAAAAAATATATCTATAAAAGCAAGTAACGCGACTATCTTGAGGGTGTGGGTGTGAGTGTGGATGTGAGTGTGGATGTGAGTGTGGGTGTGAGTGTGGATGTGTGTGTGGATGTGGATGTGGGTGTGGGTGTGGGTGTGGGTGGTGGTGAGGATGTGGATGTGGGTGTGGGTGTGGGTGTGGGTGTGGGTGTGGGTGGTGGTGAGGATGTGAGTGTCACTTTAGGTGAAGAAAACACTCCCACCAAGACGGACACCCACCCACACCGACACCCCACACCCACTCCCACACCCCACACCCACTCCCACATCCCGCACCCACACCCACACCCACACCCACCCACACCCGCACCCACACCCACACCCACATCCACACCCACTAAGGGTGTGGGTGTGGGTGTGGGTGGGGTGTGGGTGGTGTGGGTGTGGGTGTGGGTGTGGGTGGAGTGGGTGTGGGATGTGTGGGTGTGAGGTGTGTGGGTGTGACTGTATGTTGAGAGAATAGCAACAATTACTTCCACACCCACACCCACACCCACACCCCGGTGTACGTTAGCGTAAAGAGTGAGGATGAGTGGTATAAAAAAGAACACCCACACCTACAACCCTACTCACCAGTGTNAGTCTTACTAACAATATTTAGTCTTCTTAAGATAGGACTTCTTCTGTAATTTAACGGCGCTGAATAGGATGTTTACGATTATTACACATAACAATCCAACATTCATCAATACGATACTTTTGACTTTATTTTACGAGAAATCAATGAATCGTACAAAATAATATTTCAAAAGATGTACTATAGATGAAGATGAAGATCTTGAATCAAATGGTAATAGCAAAGGTTTTTTGGCACCAAACGCAAATAAGTAGGGTTCGCTCCCCACAACCAGGAACTGAACAATAAAGGTCATTAAATTTAAAGCAAATCTCCTATGGTTTGTTGATTTCACCAATTGTTTCATTGAGTATTTTAGCTTTCACAAATCCAGACTTTATAAGACTTTTAAATTTTGAAGCAGATAATTGATTGTGAATGATAGAATGCATATTTACGAAATATTGATGATTGTTCAAATTCATTTCTGTTCGATTGATATGAATATAATGTTCAATTTTCTCATGAATAAATCGCCAGGAACGAAACAAGGATAGATCTTGTGGTTGAATATAGCCAGTTGATTCTTTCGGAAAAATTAATAACTGACTGTCTTGATGTGTAAATGCTGCTCTAAATTTTTTAGACCAGCTTGAGTTGTTCAACAATCAAAGAAAAGAAGGAATTTTCTACTAACCAAACGACGTTGAACTTCATTTAAAAAAATGCGATGTTTTTCATCGCTGCTTTTTTCAGATTTTGAAGCCCATACTACGACATTTGGTGATACAATTAAATCTTTTTCCACTGTTTTACCGAATTCATTTTCCTTTTTCTGAAGAATGAGGAAGAATTTGGTGTAATAATTGACCATCAGCTGATGTAATTGGCTGCACGGTATAAGAGCGCGTAATATTATTCATCTTGCTAACAGAAACTTCTGTTGTTCTTTCGCCAGTGGAAGAGAGAGTTCTTGGAGAAACATATTCTTGTTGAAATGAACAATGGTCACTGTTTTAAATTTGACGAGAAGAATAATTCGAAATTAAAGATTTCTGATTTTGAATCCAATCGGGTGTATCAAAATACACATATATATCGCATTAAGATAAATAGATTAGATCTTAAATAAGAATTTATATTCCTTTCAAACTACATATTTTTCTGGTTGAAGAAACTCGAGTAATAAGTTTGTTGTACTTTCTTGATGAAATTCGATGTTCTTTCTTGAAGTCCTTGATAAATGTATTAATTGCTTTGTAGGTATTCCAATTTAGTTCTGTTGCTTTTTGAACTGCAAAAAGTTCTAGATCACTATCATGAATTGCTTCTTTTTCAATTGCTCTTTTCGCATAAAATTGGTTCCACCA